CGGGCCCGCGGTCCACCACTCAGGACCCCCCCCCCGCCGATTCCCGGCTGAAAAGGCTGGCCAAGGGCTCTGTGGTGCAGCCCGAGGGCTCAGAGCAGGTGCCGGAATCCCACCGACTGAGCAAGCGGAGTTGGTGCCCAGAACAGTGCACGTGTGTGCTCCTTCTGTTCTGGAGTCTGGAGGTCTAAGGCCAAGGTGTTGGCAGGCCAGGGCCGTGCTCCAGAGGCTGTGGGCAAGCGTCTTCCTCACCTCCTCTGCCTCCCGGGTTGGCTGTCCATGGCTGCAGGGGCTCATGGCAGCATCCCTCCCTGTCTGTCCCTTCCTTTGCATGGCCGGCCCCCTGTCTGCATCTTCTGCCCCCTGGTCTTTTATGGGGTTCCCGGATCTAGGACTTCCCCTGATATAGGCTGGTCTTCTCTTGAGATGCTTAACTTACAGCTGTAGAGACAGTTTCTCCAATAATTCCTACTGGTGGCCACTGCCGACCCCAGGACGTAGCCGCATCACTGACAGAGGCCGCCGTCTGGCCTGCCCCACGCTGCAGTTGCTTCTCCGTTCCGCCATCTGGGCAGGACTGACAGTCAACACCGCCTGCTCACATGCTTGGTGTGTTTTCAAGCTGCTGAGCCCAGGCTTGGCCTGTGACATCCCACTCCCTAACCCCCGGGCCATGGGCGGCCCTGCGGTTTCTTTCTTTTTCACTTTAGGCCTTTCCCATAGAGTACATGCACTTGGTGGAGAGAGAGGGAAAGTGAGAAATCACCCCCCAGAGGGGATGGCCACGCCGCAGTCCCTTCTCCTTCGTTCTCCTCTCAGGGTTTTGGGCATGCACGCACACGCACCTGGCATAATTTCCAAGCCGCTGGGTCTGGGACTGGCGCGGTGGTCGGCCATGTGAAATCCAGGGCCTTCACCACCACGTCACCCGCTGGTCCTGACGATCTTTCTGTTTTTTAGAGAGAGATTTTTGCTACAGGGTGGGTGTGCTTGCCGGAGATACAGAGAGAGACAGAGTCACCCTGGGGGATGGCCATGCCTCAATTCCTTCTCCATTCTCCTCAGGATTTTGGGCATGCATGCATGCACATGTGCCCAGTGTGCATTTTAAGCTGCCAGGCCTGGAACTCAAACCGTGGTCGGCCATGTGGGAATCCAGCGCTTAAACCACTATGCCACCTGCTGACTCAGGATCTTTCTTTTTTAAACTGGATTTTTGTCCTGTAAGGAATTTTTTCCTTTTTTAATGGCCAGGGAGGGTGATTGGCGATAGCCAAGTAAAGAACAAAAGGCGGGACCAGCAGGTGGCGTGGTGGTTAAGGCGCTGGACACTCCCACATGGCTGACCACGGTTCAAGCCCTGGACGTGGTAGCTTGCTTTCTCACTTTCCATCTCTCTCTCTCTCTCTGGTCAAATTAAAATGAATGAATAAATAAAATAAAATAAATCTTTAAGAAAAAAAAAGAACAAAAGGCGCTTATCAGTCCTTCCCCCGAGCTCCTCTGCTGTAGGGGCATACGCAGTTGCTGGTGCCCGCCTGTCCCTCGCTCAGAAGGCGTCTGTCCTATGAAAGCGGGAAGGGCCCACGGTGTCTGTGAGGGCGGCCTCAGTCCCCGAGGAGTCCATCGTGCACGGGTCCCCACGTGGCTACCTCCGTGGGCCCCGGCTTGCAGTGGAGGAAGAGCCAGTAGTACAGCCGTGTAACGGGGCGACGTGTCAGAGAAAAAGTCGCTGCCAGCCCCAGCGGATGGAGGGACAGCGCGTGGAGAGTGCGTGCTGTGAGCATGAGTTTCTGGCAAGTTCTACACACTCAGAACATTACCTCCGTTACTCCAGACACCTGGAATCCGAGCGCACGCGTTTCACAGGGACACGGGCTACTTCTGTGATCGAAAGCGGCGAAGAAAAGGTGGGCGAGTCGGGGAGGCGCTGGCAAGCGCGCCCTCCTCCGGATGGTGCCAAAAGAGCTGCTAGGTCTCTTGACCTTGGCTGGGAGGCGTTTCCTTGCCGGGAGCGCTGCCGTCTGGCCGTGTGGGCACCGGAGTAGTGGGTCAGCAGAGGGCACCTTGTCACCCGCTGAGGGATGGGCTCTCCGAATCGCTGTGCAGGGCTCTGTGTTCCCCGAGACCCTCCTGTCTCCTCTGTCCTCTGGGGTCCATCCAAGCAGTGGTGACCCAGTCCGCCCTCTGTCAGGGACCACTGATGGTACGACTGGAGTCGGCCTCAGCTTCCGTCTCAGCTCAGTTCCTGTTCCCTGTCGTGTGTGGGGACTCTCCTGTCCCTGGAATGGGAGAATCCCAGCCTTGCCCTCTCTGTCCTGCTCACCGTCTGTCCCTGGGCTCTGACTGGCCCCCTTTCTGCTCCACGTCCTCAGGTCCAGCTCAGACGGGGCCTTCCTGGACCTCGGCTGAGTGCCTGCCTTCCCGGGCCAGTTGCTGGCTTGGTCGCTGGCACAGGCTGGTGTGTGGCAGTTCTCTGCCGACTCTCACCCTCGCTGCTCGGTCCCTGGCTGTGCTCTGACCCAGCTCTCTGTCCCCGTGTCTGCAGGGCCCCCCTGGACGCCCAGGCCTGCCCGGTGCTGACGGCCTGCCCGGGCCCCCCGGGACCATGCTTATGCTGCCTGTGAGTACCCCATCGGGGGGGCTGTGGGTGTCTCGGGGGGCTGTGAGTACCCCGTCCAGGTGGCTGTGGGTGTCTGGGGGCTGTGAGTACCCCGTCCGGGTGGCTGTGTGGCCGTGGTTTGCAACAGGTCGGACGTTTCCGAGAAGGCTGAGCCCCTCAGCCTGCCCAACGGCTTCCTGCTGTGGTTACCCCGCCTTGGGGGAGGGCAGGCTGGGTGCCACAGTGGTCAGGGGCTGCAGGACAGGCAGTTCTGGCCCTGGCGGCAAGATGCCCACGTGAGCCTGGCCTGTGGGGGAAGGGGATGGAGACCCCCTGCTGGACCGTCCCATCCCGGAGCTGTGAGGCTGGGCTCTGGCGTGCGGGACATGGAGCCGTGTCTCTGCTCGCTCTGGGTGGGGCTGAACCAGTGCGTGTGGTGGGGGGGAGAAGGGGGTGGCCTGGACCTCGCCCAGTGGCCTCTGTTCCCCGTGCAGCCAGAACCTCCCAGGTCCCCTGGTGCTGTTTGTTCCGAGCAGCCTGCCAGGAGGGAGCCCAGCTGTGGCTCTGTGCCAGCCTCTGTCCACCACGGCAGGCTGCTCCTCTGCGCGCCCCTTCCTGGCCTCCTGCCCCCAGGCCCAGAGGCATCCTTGGTACCAGCACCTTGGTCCTGGGAGCTCACGGGAGCCTCAGGCACAGGGGTGTCTGCAGTGAGGCCACAGGGTCCTATGGGGAGGGGCCCGCAGGGAGACGCCCTCGGGCTGGCAGCACCCTTCAGGTGGTAGAGCTTCCCGGGCCATAGTGAGCCAGCTGGAGCCGGGCCTGGTCCCTCAGCCCAGGTTCACGCAGAGCAGGGAGAGTCAGGTTCCTCTCTCGGGGCAGGCGTTGGGCCTCAGGCTTCTGTCCTGGAGCCCGAGCCCATTGGAGCCCGTCAATAAATCCCACAGGCAGGTGGACGCGGGTTCTGCTCAGAGTGCCCCGCTCCTGCAGGCAGGCCCTGTGGGTGAGGCCGAGGGGCCACCTGTACTCAGGGTGGACCTCCCCTGAGATGCCGGTGCAGGTCGGCCACTCTGAGGGGAGCAGAGTCCCTCAGGCTGAAGACAAGCCTCCACTGTCCAGCACCCACCGCCCCGCTTGGGCTGTCGCGTGGACGCTCCCTGGGCCCATGGGTCTGCAGAGGAGATGGGAGTGTCTCCACAGGGAGCCCAGACCCGGGAGGGAGCCCCTGCCCAGGGCACCAGCCTGCATGCCTGGGGCTGGGTCACACCACGGTGCTGACTGAGGTCGCAGTGGGGCTGGCCGCGGGTCGGTCTGATGCCTGGGAGCTGGCACAATTGGGGACCGTTTGTGCTGGGCCTCTGGCATTCCTTCGTGATGACCGGAGGCTGTAGGGTACAGCTCTGTGGGTGCCAGAGAGGGTCTACTGGGTGCAGGGTCCGCAGGTGCAGGGGTGGGACAGTTGGCGGAGTAGGCCTTGTGGGGGGAGTCTGGGCCTAAGAGGCACCAAATCGGACCTTGGGGCTTTGCTGCATCCAGAGGCCTGTGGCACTGCCTGGGCGTGGGCCTAATGCGCCACCACATCAGTGCCCCTGGGTGACCCTTTGTCTCATACCTGCAGTTCCGGTTTGGAGGTGGTGGTGACGCGGGCTCCAAAGGCCCCATGGTCTCAGCCCAGGAGTCCCAAGCCCAAGCCATCCTCCAGCAAGCCAGGGTGAGTAGGGCTTGGGCCTGGGGGTCCAAGGGGACTTTGCCTGTACCTGGGGCTGCAGTGGCTGCGTGTTCCAGCCCAGAGGCCGCATGGAGGGAGGCCCCTCCACCAGAATGTGTGTCCCGCGGGGAGCCAGTGCCTCTCCTGTCTCCGTGTGGGCCTGTGAGCCCAGGGGGTATTGAGGAGCCTTCACTGGGTGCCCTGGCCGCTATGAGGGGCCAGCTCTGACTCTGAGAGGGGCCTCTGGGCCCTGCCACACCCCTGAGCTGATGGACCCACCTCCCATGTGCTGACTGTCAGTTCCACACCAGGCCCTCCACTGGGTTCTGGGAATGGAGAGGGAATCTCCATGTGGCCCCTGGAGGGGGCATGCGAGTGGTAGACTCAGGCTCCTGGGCTAGGCGGGCGGCTGGGCACGTCGAGAGGGACCCCTTGGGCCCTAGAGCCCCTCACTGCCAGCTGGCTGCAGAGGAGCGCCCTCCTGCCGGGATTGGCGTGTTAGTGAGCTGCGTCTCAGTAGATGTGGCTCCCAGTTGCTGAGTCCGTGACTGGTACTGCGGCCCAGCCGGGCGGCAAGCCTGCCCTGCACAGGGGAAGCTGCCATGCAGTCCCTCGTCTGTGTGGTATTTACGTGGCTCGCGGTGCACGGGTAATTCCAGGACCATCTCGGTATCGAGTAGGTGTCCTGGAACAAATCGCCCGAGTGACGCAGTCGGGTGTGGAGCAGACCCCGCTACCTGCCATGTTCTATCCCCGGGCCTGCCTGGCTGGGCTCGTATCGGTGTGTGTTTTAATTGAAGTCAAGTGGGTGATGGGCACATAAGAATTTACAGCACGGAAAACTTTCCGAATTAAAATGGCATCAGCTGGGGAAGCAGGAAGGCGGTCAGCGCAGAGGGGTTCGGAGGCCGAGGTAGGCGGGAGCCACGTGCCCGTGGGCTGAGGCCGTGATAGCCCAGGGCGGCCTGGGCCCCACTCCCCGTCTCCCCCAGTCGCTGGTCAGTGCTCGAACTGCCTCCCACGGGAAATGAAATCACTGTGACACCCTGGGCCTGTGAGAGTCCCTGCGGCCAGCCAGGCAGGGAGGCTGCGTCGTGCATCGGCACACGCACGGGCAAGGAGGGCTGCTCCCTGTGCTTGGAGGGAGGGCAAGGCGTGATGGGCGCCCGACCCTGGACCCCGAGTTCCACTTCCACCTCTGCTCCCTGACAGTCGGCACTGAGGACCCCGAGGAGCAGCTGGGGGCCCTGGGTGACCGTCTGCTTGTCCTGAGCCTCCTGTCCTGGATGGGGTTCCGGTCTCCCCTTCCCACCTGGCCCGGCCTCTTGGTCAGGGCCTGCAGACTGGGGCGGGGCTGCCTGTGACCCTCTCTCAGCACGTCCATTTTCCTTTGCAGCTGGCGCTGAGGGGACCCGCTGGCCCGATGGGTCTTACCGGGAGACCCGGCCCCATGGTAAGTCATGGGTGGGTCTGAGGGCTGGCCCTGCCCTGGCCGTGGTGGACTGTGGACATGGGGGACCCTCAGCCTCCCACATCAATGGCTCCTGCCTAGAAAGGAGCTTGTGGGGTACCCGTGTTGTCCTGGGCTACGTGCCACAGCAGACCGTGAGCACAGTCCCCTGGGGAGAGGGATGGCTCTGGTCCGTGGGCCCCACGAGCTGTACTGTCTAGCTTGGTCGGAATTCACCAGGGACCTCAACAGCTGCATCTCCAGCCCCTGACATGCCAGGGCAGGCGGGTGGGGCTCTCTGCGCCGTGGGGCTCTGGGCATCGCACCGCTGCGGGCTGAGACGGATCCCTGCCACCTGCCCCTGCATGCCCAGCAGCTCTGACCTGCTCCATGTCCTTCGTCTGAGCACACCTTAACCCTGACGTGTCTCCCTAGGGCCCTCCTGGGAGCGGAGGTCTGAAGGGCGAGCCGGGAGACATGGGGCCTCAGGTACGTGGGACCTGCCTTTGCTCTCTGAGGGTGCTCCTGGTGGTGGTGGTGACCGCTCGAGTGACGGTGCCCTGATGGCTGCCCTTCCTTCACGACCCTGAAGGCTCCGCGCGGCCTGACGGCAGAGCAGAGGGGCTGCTGCTGCTCTAGCTCCCGGGCCCTCACCAGGGTGGCTGAGCCAGGCCTGCTCCCTCATGCCTGTGCGCGGCAGGGACAGCGAGCACGGACTCACTGACGCTCTGTGCTCTGACTCCTGGCAGGGTCCCCGAGGTGTGCAGGGCCCGCCTGGGCCGACTGGGAAGCCTGGGAGACGGGTGAGTGGTGCCCTGAGCGCGTGGCTGCGGGGCAGCGGCTGGGTTGCTGGGGAGCTCTGACCCGCGGAGGGGTGGCCTCCTCCCCAGGGCCTTGTGGGAAGGCGGGGCACGGCTGCAGCAGGCGGCCCCATGCACCCAGCGTGCGCCCTCCCGGGCCGATGGACCTTTCACCAGGGCGCGGTTTGTGGTGGTGGTCAGGCACTGGCCTCTCCCAGCGCCTGGGCCTCGGCTCCCACTGCTGCCTTTTCAGAGGAGACATGGCAGAATGAGAAAGGCCCCACAGTCATGGAGGCCCCAGCTCCGGAGTGAGCATGGCGGATAAGCACGGGTGCCTCTGAGCCATGCTCGGTTCGCCCGACTCGCATCGGCTCCTCACGGCTGCAGGTCTGGGGATCTGTGGGTGATTCCAGGTCACCGGGAGTTTTGACCCTCAAGACAGCAGGCAGCTCAGCTTGGACCCAGCTCTGGAAAGGGTTTTATTTCCTTGGGGTTTTCTTCTGGATCTCTGGAAACTGGCAAGTTTCACTGGAGTGGTTGCTGGCCCGGCCGTGGCAATGGTGCAGGGAGCGCCGTGTCCTGTCAGGCTGGAAGCCACGTGCCGGGCTGGGTCTGGGTCCCTGGGCCCACTCGGTATCGTGCTGGGTACCCGTGTGGGCTCCCAAGGTCCCGAGAGCTGGAGGGTGCACCTACCACCCCGCCCGTCGTTGGGAAAGCAAGTTCTCTCTCAGGGCGAGGGAGAGCAGAGGCCGGGCAACGGAGTACGACAGGGTCAGTGGAACAGGGTCACGTTTGGCAAGGAAGTCACTGGGCCCCAAAAGCACCCTGTAGGAAGGGTAGGCATGGCAAGGTGGACGCAGGGCCAGGTGGGCACCCCCCAGGAAGGGCAGGCGTGGCAGGGTAGGCTCAGGGCTGGCGGGCACCCCCCAGGAAGGGCAGGCGTGGCAGGGTGGGCTCAGGGCTGGCGGGCACCCCCAGGAAGGGCAGGCGTGGCAGGATGGGCTCAGGG